TTGGTGACCCCTAATGGGGGTCGGGACCCTCTGGATGGGAACCAGTGATGTAGAGGTTGAAGCTAACTAAGCTATGTAACACCTGGTTTTAGTCTTTGCTCAGTTAAATGATGATCTCACCTGGTGATTGGATCAAACAGTTGTAAATATCAAAGTATGTCACTGCTGGTCGTTCAGTGGGATCATTTCTCCAAGATAAGGAAGGTGAGGAGAAGACGACACTGAGACAGAACGACAGAATTCAGTCTGTAAGAATAACTTTTCCTCTCTGGTGGACACAAGGTGATAAAATAATCCTCTGACATGCTGATATCTGGTGTTTTTAGTGAGCTACAGACATTCTGTCAGTGTTTCAGTCCTCAGTTTCATATTGTGGCGCTGATAGTTTCCCCTCAGGTGGGCGTGGCTTTCAGATTATGACACGTTGTGTTCTGTGTCTCTATAGAGGTGTTAAATGAATTATGTGTTTTATCAGTGAGGATATAGTTAGTGATGGTGTTGTACTGGAGGTGTCCCTAATATTCTGACCGTCTCATGTTTGTAAACAGGGAGGATAAACATCAGAACCAACTGATGAACTCTCAGTTTAATGTCGTCAAGTACAACACCACCTTTAACTATCACCTCAATAATAAACACAGTTTCATTTATAACAAAGTCAACAACATCTGAACATAATAAACTCTGTAAAGGTAGAACTTATGTCACAGCTGTTGTATTGAATCAAACAGGTGTACCTAATAAAGTGGCCACTGATTGTATCTGATCAACAGTCTCATGCTGCCAGAATGAAAAACTCATCATCACATTTGTTGTAATTCTTCTTTTGTAGCCGACATCAGCTGATAAAGATTTAACTGGTGTGTGTTTTATTTCCTCAGAAAGGAAGGAGAGCGTTAGCTTTTATTTTAAATTTAAAACTACACGTTTGTTCAGGTTTGATCGTCTGAATTTATCCTTCACTTTAAAATACAGAAATATTTATCTGAGCAACAGAAAGATGAAATCTGGATCAAACATTTAAAAAAAAATCAGCCTCAAATGAGACAAGAGGTGAACGATTCAGATTCATGTGACTTTATATATTTCTACTTCACTACATTTCAGAGGAGATTAATGTACTTTTTACTGCACTACATTTATCAGACAGATACAGTTACTGGTTACTTTGATCTAACAAACAAAACGTAATCAACTTATAAAATATAAAACTTTTTATAAAACGTTTGCTACTTTAAGTTCATTTTGCTCATACTTTTAAGTATTATCACATCACAACCGATGTTCACTATCAGCACACTTTAACACATAAACAATTAAAAATATCTGAATATAAAATAAGGAAGAATCTTACCACTGATGTAAACATGAATCTTTGCTTCAGTCTGATGGTTGATTTCCTCCTGTGTGACCACACAGTGATAGTAGTCAGTCTTGGTCACAGTAGTTTGGAGGATGATGTCATAGCTGCCTCCTCTGTCTGTGACCTGTAGTTCTTCAGCAGGAAGTTTGTTTCCAGAACTGTCCTTCCACTCTACTTTAGGTTTTGGAGAAGCACCATGAACCTCACACTGCAGCCGTGACCAGTCTTTTGTTTGCTCAAGTGCTGTGATGAATGGCTTCTTAGCTGCACATGTAAACAACAGAATATAAAAAGAACAATTACATCATTTTATAATCAACAAAACAAAATCAAAAACTGAAAGACACAGAAAAGCACAGAATAGAGCTCAATCACACCACATATCATTATCTGGCAGGGTCTCATATTTTAAACACTTTCAACTATGACCAAAGGTTTGGTACCTATTTACAACCACAAAAAAATAGTTCTGACTCATATCATGACAGACACACACATATACAGTGAAGACATTGCACAACTTTCTAATTTTTATGCCACATTTGTTGTGCTAAATAAATTACCTTAAAATTAAATCACATTAAATTTGTTGTCTGACACATTTCACAGTTTCTATAATATGAAAAATAAATTATAAAATACAAAACAAAGGGTATTTAAAAGCATGTGCACCTGTTGTGTTATCGGAGCTTTGCTGTGTCAGTGATTGATACATAAACTCAGTGTCCACTTTATTAAGTACACCTGTACAATCTAATACAATCCAATAAAACTGCAGCCTCCAAAATGATAATACAGTTGAATCAACTTCTCTCTAAAACAGTTTCAACACAAACTGAACAAAGACATTGGTAAGAAGTGTATTTGGATTGTAATTTGGTGGTCCTGACACACAGAACTTATACCAGTGCCAACAACACAATGATGAATATACCAGATCAATCAAATTAACTCTCAGTAACAGGTGTCACCCAGATAAAATATACCTTCTAGTCACTGTACCTTATTAAATGCTAACAATTTAAACAAAAAAAATATTGCAAAAAGTGAGTGATGGCCCTGCCTCTCCTCACAAACACATAGTAAAGTGTGTATCTGTTTATGTGGTGTGTGTCTGTTCCATCATCTGCTCCCACAACAAGTCAGTGAACGTCTCACCAAAGTGTGTAAGCATCTTGTTTCCACATGGCCCCTGCTTTGAGTTTTTTCTTTAAGGGACAGAGCCATTAGGAAGAAATGTTATTAGCACAGGAGCCATTCTCTAGTCTACAGGATCAAATCTTAAATTAGTAGACACCAAAAAGTTGTCAGTGTATAATAAATGTCTCCATTTTAATTGACGTGTAATCAGTCTAACACATTTAAACAATGATCTCAGTCAGATCAACACAGAGGAGTCACTTTCAGTGATTCTCAGGCCTGTGGAGCAAATCACAGCCCTTTCATTGAAATGAATTCAAATCACAAACATGAGGATGTAAAGATCATTGACGTCATTAAAATCAGGACTCACCTCTGATGTTTTTATCTGATCTGTCTTTTAAGACACCACCTGGAAGGCAAAACAAAACACGTTAGAGTTCTTGTGTGATTTCATCAACTTTTCAGACAGGTGAAATATAATTGTGTTTCTATGTTTATTGTACAGTTTTTTCCACATAGTTCTGATTCACATTCACAGACCTGACTGGTTTGTGTCCTGGACAGTTTAAGGTCATTTGAGCACACTCAGATTTTATCTCCTATAGACTGCTGACATTTCAAAAATGAGAGGACATCTTTTTTGAAAGAAAGAACTCACCAACAACAAGCTTAATGTGGAACGTTTGACGCGGCTCAGTAAAAGTACAGGTGTAGTTTCCACTGTCAGTCAGTCTCGTATTTCTGATGATGATGGAGGCGTTGCCGTGTTTCAGTTCTTCTTGAAAATGAGAGACTCGACCTTTAAACTCTTCATCCTGAGATCCAAAGCCAGTATTGGAATGTCTGCCTTGATTGTACCGGAACACCTCCTTCTGTTTTTCATTATTCTGAGCAACTTTATTCAAGTCAAAGTGTCCTTGTTCAATGTTCTGCTTGGTGCTGAGGGAACAGGGTAACAAAGCATTTCCATCTTATTACACTGGGACGACCACTGGCTCTGGAAGATACAAACATGTATTAATCAGTGTGTTTACATGCAGAGTAATTAATTTAAGACAGACATATTAAAGTTTGATGTTATAACAAAATATAAATACTTTCAACATATTGTACCACAATAGCCAGAATCATAATTATAATATTATTACTTTCATTGATGTTGTTGTAAGCTACTGTCATTACCGTCTGTCCTGCATCTCTGTCTCTCTGTCTCTTTCTGTTTCATTGTGTTACACGGATTACTGTTAATTTATCATGTTGATCTGTTCTGTACGACATTTTTTGCACTTCTGTCCGTCCTGGAAGAGGGATCCCTCCTCCTACTGTTTTTTCCCCTGTTAAAGGGTTTTTTTGGGGAGTTTCTCCTTATCCGCTGTGAGGGTCATAAGGACAGAGGGATGTCGTATGCTGTAAAGCCCTGTGAGGCAAGTTGTGATTTGTGATATTGGGCTTTATAAATAAAATTGATTGACTGATAAACTCACCCTTTAGTATGACTACAAATGCAGACTGCATATTTTCACAAGATATATTTATAATTTCTTATCCTGAGTTTTTATCTTTTATATTTCTCTCTTTTCTAATTCTATTTTTTTCACACCTGTTCGGAAGAACGTCACACTCACTAATAATTTATAACATCTTTCTATCTTTTCTCTTTTTTCCAAGTGATGACAAACATCCACACATTTGACAGAGGAATAACTTTCTGTGGTTCTTGTTTTATTATTTAATATATTATTATTTCATTATTAATATTTATCATTATTATTATTATTATTATTATTATTATTATTATTATTATTATTGTATCCTCCTAAATAAAAACTATCAGCCAAACGCTCAGTGACTTTTAGGCAGTGGACACACAGATCTTATATTCCATCACAAATATCTCCACTACATCTCAGAGGTAAATATTGTTTAATACAAACATTATAGACCATGATGCATTGCTGTAGATTAAACTACCCAACAGGATATAAGGGAGTTAAAATGAGCACAACCTTAAACATCGACAGCAGCAAAATGACACGAACACATTAATGCAGCAGTAAAATGAATCCAGAAACATCAGATAGAAGGAAAACACTGACAGCATGAAACAGTTTACTGCACAATCACAACTGTTCATTTAAGTGCTTTAGGTACATTTTGCTAACAACACTTACTTTGACTGCAGGACATTAGTTTTTAGTGGAGCATTTATAATGTGGTATTAGCACGTTTAGTTCTTCTTTCATCATTGGTTTTTCGACCTTATGTTCATAGGTTTTTGTCCCAAATTCATGTCGTAACAATGAATCAGTGATGCTGACAGAACAGCTGGATTAAAGAATCCTCAGTGTAAACACCCTTTATGAACTCTTCTACAACTGAAAATGGGCTCAATCACAACATTTCATAGTTTTGTCACTGACTGTAGTTTGTTGTGAATCAGAGTCTGAACTGTTAATTAATGACAGTGTTGTCTTTAAACACGGAGCAAGAGGTGCACTTCCTGTAAATTGTTCTGTGTGTGTGTAAGAGCAACGTAAAAATATAGCCGCAGTAGCAATTGTGGGGTTCAAGCCAGCATGGATCTTTAACAGCTGAAAGCTGGGTAGGATCAAGACCTTTGACAGTTCAGGACGCCTGAATTAAAGATCACCAACAGGTTTTATGACAATCAGACAGATGCTCATTCATTTACGGTTAAATCTTCACCGAGCCACCTTCTTCTTTGGAAACACTGTTGCTTCCTATTGGTCGGCTGCAGAAACATTTTGGGGACATTCTTTAATGACTTAATTGAAAAAGTCAAACACGTTTGTTGATGTTTGAACAAACTCTCAATGATTTTTGGCTGAATTTTGAGAAAGACCATTGCACTTGTTTGGAACTTCTGGCTGTCTATCTATTTACTGATTTCAAAATAATTTCACGCACATGGTTCATAATTATTATTCAACATACAAGTTTTGTAATGATTGGACAATCAATTTGATTTATAATCTGATTTGTGTTATCCCAAGACCATTTTATTTATTTGTGGTGCCCCCTAGTGGTCAACATAAATGAAACTTTCAGGGTTTGTTCCTGGAACCTCTAAGACATTGCTTGTAAGGTTTGTGGTGATTGGTCCAAATATTGTGGAATCATTTGTTGAGCCACGCCCCCTTTAAAGTTCACTAGTCATTGGCCACGTTTCCAGGATCCAGTTAAAAAGATTTTAGCGCTAAGAGCTTCTTAAGAACACTCTTAAGCCTCCCGTGAAAGAAAAATGCGTTTCCCACATTCGCACTTAGCTTAAGAAGATTTTTCACTAAGATCGAACTGAGCTGACCCACTCTTAACAGTCTTCTTATCGACCAAACGCTCACAGATCCAGCCGCATCAGGCAAATTAATATTACACTAAGCAAGGAGATATTAAAACAGTATATTTTGATCTTTTTTATACTTCAGATTTATATTGTTTAGCATTAATTGGTGACAGAAAAGAACAAATTTCAGGGAAACGCGTGTCCTTACTGTGCATATGACAATAAACACTTTGAATCTTGAATCTATATATATACAGTACAGGCCAAAAGTTTGGACACACCTTCTCATTCAATGCGTTTTCTTTATTTTCATGACTATTTACATTGTAGATTCTCACTGAAGGCATCAAAACTATGAATGAACACATGTGGAGTTATGTACTTAACAAAAAAAGGTGAAATAACTGAAAACATGTTTTATATTCTAGTTTCTTCAAAATAGCCACACTTTGCTCTGATTACTGCTTTGCACACTCTTGGCATTCTCTCCATGAGCTTCAAGAGGTAGTCACCTGAAATGGTTTCCACTTCACAGGTGTGCCTTATCAGGGTTAATTAGTGGAATTTCTTGCTTTATCAATGGGGTTGGGACCATCAGTTGTGTTGTGCAGAAGTCAGGTTAATACACAGCCGACAGCCCTATTGGACAACTGTTAAAATTCATATTATGGCAAGAACCAATCAGCTAACTAAAGAAAAACGAGTGGCCATCATTACTTTAAGAAATGAAGGTCAGTCAGTCTGGAAAATTGCAAAAACTTTAAATGTGTCCCCAAGTGGAGTCGCAAAAACCATCAAGCGCTACAACCAAACTGGCACACATGAGGACCGACCCAGGAAAGGAAGACCAAGAGTCACCTCTGCTTCTGAGGATAAGTTCATCCGAGTCACCAGCCTCAGAAATGGCAAGTTAACAGCAGCTCAGATCAGAGACCAGATGAATGCCACACAGAGTTCTAGCAGCAGACCCATCTCTAGAACAACTGTTAAGAGGAGACTGCGCAAATCAGGCCTTCATGGTCAAATAGCTGCTAGGAAACCACTGCTAAGGAGAGGCAACAAGCAGAAGAGATTTGTTTGGGCCAAGAAACACAAGGAATGGACATTAGACCAGTGGAAATCTGTGCTTTGGTCTGATGAGTCCAAATTTGAGATCTTTGGTTCCAACCGCCGTGTCTTTGTGAGACGCAGAAAAGGTGAACGGATGGATTCCACATGCCTGGTTCCCACTGTGAAGCATGGAGGAGGAGGTGTGATGGTGTGGGGGTGTTTTGCTGGTGACACTGTTGGGGATTTATTCAAAATTGAAGGCACACTGAACCAGCATGGCTACCACAGCATCCTGCAGCGACATGCCATCCCATCCGGTTTGCGTTTAGTTGGACAATCATTTATTTTTCAACAGGACAATGACCCCAAACACACCTCCAGGCTGTGTAAGGGCTATTTGACCAAGAAGGAGAGTGATGGAGTGCTGCGGCAGATGACCTGGCCTCCACTATCACCGGACCTGAACCCAATCGAGATGGTTTGGGGTGAGCTGGACCGCAGAGTGAAGGCAAAGGGGCCAACAAGTGCTAAACACCTCTGGGAACTCCTTCAAGACTGTTGGAAAACCATTTCAGGTGACTACCTCTTGAAGCTCATGGAGAGAATGCCAAGAGTGTGCAAAGCAGTAATCAGAGCAAAGGGTGGCTATTTTGAAGAAACTAGAATATAAAACATGTTTTCAGTTATTTCACCTTTTTTTGTTAAGTACATAACTCCACATGTGTTCATTCATAGTTTTGATGCCTTCAGTGAGAATCTACAATGTAAATAGTCATGAAAATAAAGAAAACGCATTGAATGAGAAGGTGTGTCCAAACTTTTGGCCTGTACTGTATGTGTGTATATATATGTGTATATATATATATATATATATATATCCAAAGTGGATGCAATTAACCAATCCCGGACCCGGAGCTCAGTTCCATTTTAAAGATCCACCTTTATTTATGTACAAAAGAGGACAAAACTTAAAAGACCGTTTGGTTCATGCTAATTTTTCTAACAAGAAAAAACATAATCAGCCACAACAAACTTGTTTAAGTCCTCTTCCGAATGGAAATTATAGATGTGGAAATTGCGCACAGTGCAACAACACTTTTAAATCAACATACTTTCGTCATCCTCTTACTGGAAAAACATTTCCTATTGAGAGTATCATCAGTTGCGCGTCCACTCATGTTGTGTACATGATTCACTGTCCGTGTGGCCTCGCCTACGTAGGTGAGACCACCAGGAAACTTAAACAGAGAATCAGTGAACACAAGAGTGTGATACGACGCAAGGATGAAGATTATCCAGGGGCAGTTCATTTTAATGAGATGAGACATGACGTGGCCTCCCTCCGCTTTTGTGGGATCAAACAGGTTTGGTTGCCACCTAGGGGCAGAGACCACGACTTGCTCCTAAAAAGAAGGGAAGCATTCTGGATTTTTACATTACAGACACTGTCTCCAAAAGGATTGAATGATGAGTTATTGTTGAATGTAATGTTGTAGATTTATTGCTTATCTGCTGTCTTACCTGGTTGTTATATTGGTCTACTGCAGGGAGAGGCAGCCATTCAGAGCATTTTTTACTATTTTTCCGCCTGGTACATTCTGGGGCTGTTGGAAATGCTGAAAAAATTCTCTCCTTTCTTCAGCCTTGATACATATTTTTTTTCGCTTATAAGTATGTGTATATTTGCTATTTATTCTATTGCCTACAGTCTTTAGAAAATCTAAAATATTTTTGTACTCTAAACTATTAATGTTTTTATAAAAATTTGAAAATGTGGCTGTTTATTAATGATTGCTGTTGTTCTCTGACAGCTGATGCTCATCAGAAACGTTGAGCCCTCCAGTCCTCTGATTGGTTAATTGCATCCACTTTGGATATATATATATGAAATGTTGTGATGCTGCCTGAAATGCCTGATGAAGGTCACACCGACCGAAACGTTGCTTAAATAAAAATAAGAGAGTGAGACAGTGTGCGGGAGCCTTTTTTGATTTTTATATATTGTGGGGTTGCAGCCTCTCTCCTACGCACCTGCTGTTTTTGGGTGTGCTGAGATTTTTCCATACAATTCCTGTTTAAAAAGGGCTATAGTGACTGTCAGAACGGGCAGAAAAGTCGTGTAGTGTGGGCTCTGTTGAGGCTGTGGCAAGGGCGACATCTG